GGCTGCTCAGCTCGGGCTGACTCGAACCGCTGTTGCTCAGAGCTCAAACTCTTGAGCGAGCTCTTAACCAACTGAGCCACTCAGCCGGCCCTGAGCATTCTTCATATTGCTTCTCTTCAGTGGGCTGTCCTCATGGCCTGTCCTCATGGCTTCTGTCACCAAAAGGCTGACACAGGAGAGAAGTGGCATATGCACTTCCTGTCTTTGAGTCTGCGGCCAGTCGAGGCAGGGGTCTGGCTCTCAGTTGTGGCCCCAGTGCCTGGACAGCGCAGAGCTGAGGGGGCACGTGCAGCGGGAGGTCACCAGGGCCTGGGCGGGGGGTAGTGGCTCCACTGTCACAGCAGGTGCCATCAGCAAGAGAAGCAAAGGGGACAGTGTTAGCATGACTGTCTGTGGGAGACGGAGTGAGGGAAAGCCTTCTGCGCTTTCCTGCCTCACTTTCCCAGCCTGTGAAATAGGAAACAGTAACTATTTTTTTCACCAGGGCCTTTAAAAATGATTTCGGGTGATGATTGAAAACATGTTGTAACGACTAGAGGAAGGCCTGTGTGTTGTAACAAATTTTAGCAAATAAAGGAATTTCTAAGCTACACCGGCAGAGTCCGCCTCCCCCTCCAGCCTCGGCCCCCAGACACAGACCCCCTTGACCAGCTCAGGCTTCTGCCACTGAACACATTTTGGGTGAGCGCTGCTGCTTGACTGGCTGGAGAATGGGGCGTTTCATAGGGAGTATCAAACTCTGACAGCTCTTTCTCAGGAAGTGTTGGGGGTGAATGTGTCCCCTCAGAATTTCTTTGTTGAAGTGCCTCAGAAAGTGACCTAATCTGGATGTAATTAGCTAAGATGGAGTCATACTGGGGTAGGGTAGGCCCTAATCCAACATGGCTGGTGTTCTTATGAGAAGGGGACACTGGGACAGAGCACCGTGTGAACACGGAGGCACAGACGGGGCGATGCTTCTACAAGCCAAGCACCAGAGCCGAGGGTTGTCAGCACCGCCGGAAGCAGGCGCTTCTGGGGCGTCCTCCTGCGGCGCTGTCAGAGGGAGCAGGCCCGCCCACACCTCGGTCCCAGACTCAGGCCCCCGTTGTTTAAGCCACCTGGTCCATGGCACTTGGTCCCTGGGAAACCAAGGCAGGCAGCAGAGAGAGGCTGAGGTAGGAAGGCTGGGAGATGCAGGCTAGGAGCGCGGTGTGGGGGAGCGGGGGGCGGGAGGGGTGCCCATCGGGAGATGGTTCCACACCCCAGGAGTCTGACCGGCTGCTTCCTGAGAGCACTAGCCCCTTCGCATCCATTCCACTTACTGAAAACCTCCCCGGAGGCCGAGCTGGCACAGGGAGCCGGAAGCTGACTCCCTCTGGAGCCGCCTTGGGCTGCATTCAGGAAGTTTGTCGGGTGATGGTGGTGACACAGCTGCTTTCAGTGGGCTTTCTATAGTCTGTTTTTGTTATTTTTAAGGATGTTCCTTCTAAGGTGAGGGCTGAGGACCCGGATTATCTAACCTAGTTTCCTTTTGGGTAAGAAAGCCACTTCACCTACTGATGGGCGCTTTCCTTGTTCCTGGAATATCTGCTTTTTGTTCTGAGCTTGTTGCGTGTGGGATCCTGTCCAGGACTCCATGTCCATTATGATGGCGGTAAGTCTTAAACCAGGGCCTTCCTCCTGCTGGCGGCCTGTGGAGGCCCAGCGCTCCCTGGCAGGGCACTCGGTGCCCGTGGTCATGCGCCGTTGGGAGGCCTGCCCTGCGCCGTCTCCACCCTGCCTGGCGGTCGTGTCCACTGTGGGTAACTCTCCCCTTCTTGTCCGCAGAGCCTGTAGGAGAGGCAGCGGCAAGGCTTCCCGATGAACGACCGGAAGGAAGACATGGAAATCGCGTCCCACTACCGGCGCCTGCTGCGCGAACTGGACGAGCAAAGGCAGCACGGCGTCCTGTGCGATGCGTGCGTCGTCGTCGAGGGCAAGGTCTTCAAGGCTCACAAGAACGTCCTGCTGGGCAGCAGCCGCTACTTCAAGACACTGTACTGCCAGGTGCAGAAGGCATCCGACCAGGCCACAGTCACGCACCTGGACATCGTCACGGCCCAGGGCTTCAAGGCCATCATTGACTTCATGTACTCAGCCCACCTGGCCCTCACCAGCAGGAACGTCATCGAGGTGATGTCGGCCGCCAGCTTCCTGCAGATGACGGACATCGTGCAGGCCTGCCACGACTTCATCAAGGCCGCGCTGGACATCAGCATCAAGCCTGATGCCCCGGACGAGCTGTCGGAGTTCGAGGTGGGCGCCCAGCCCGGCAGTGGCACGGACGCGCTCATCTCCGCCGTGATGGCCGGGAGGAGCATTTCCCCATGGCTGGCCCGGCACACAAGTCCCACCAACTCCTCAGGGGACTCGGCCATTGCCAGCTGCCACGAAGGAGGAAGCAGCTGTGGCAAGGAGGACCAGGAGCCCAAGGCCGACGGTGCCGACGACATTTCCTCGCAGTCGCTGTGGCCGGGCGACGTGGGCTATGGGTGTCTGCGCATCAAGGAGGAACAGGTGTCGCCCCCTCACTACGGAGGGAGCGAGCCGCCTTCTGCCAGGGATGCTGCGACCCAGAGCTCCTTCTCTGAGCAGGCTGGCGGGGACGGCTGGCAGCCCACAGGCCGGAGGAAGAATCGGAAAAACAAAGAGACCGTCCGGCACATCACGCAGCAGGTGGAGGACGACAGCCGGGCCGGTTCCCCGGTGCCGCCCTTCCTTCCGACGTCCGGGTGGCCGTTCAGCAGCCGTGACTCAAGTAAGCCTTTGATTTGTCACAGGCCCGGCTCAGACACTGTCGGGTGGTGGTGGCCCCAGGCACTGTGTGTTGGTGGCCTTGTGGCCGCTCGTTTTGTAGACGAAGCAGCACATGTACAGGCTCACGTCTGTAGCTTCCCGTGGGTCACCTCCTTTCACAATAAATCGGTGTGAGCGCAGGGAATGTGACCAACATGTCCCAAAGGCCATTACAGCATCGGTGTCACCGACACACATGGGCTGCCTGGTGGGGCTTTTCTGGAGCCGAGGGCAGCTTGAGTGTGGGGTCAATCTCTGGGAAGGTGGGTGACACCTGGAAGGAGCCCCCAGCATGAGGGGTGTAAGGTGGGCTTTCCTTTGTATGGGGAGCTTTCATAAGCACTGGTTGGGTAACTTAACTTGAAAAGATTTAAACGCTAACATTTTAAAGATGAGAACATGCAGTAAATGACGTGATGTGAAGGCGGGAGGGATCAACTGCTGTCGCCCACCTTCAGGTCTGGGTTTTCCGTCCGGCAGACTTGTGCCTTGGTCACTGTCGTGAATGTTGAACAAAACATTCCATGCATGTGTTTGGTCTTTGGTACAAAGTTTGCTTTGACCTGGAAGACTTGGGGCCACCAAGCTCCCCTCACAACGAGGGGCCCTTCCTACTTGCCAGCAAGGGTGGCATCCAGTAGTTCACACCAGCTGACTTGGGCCTTCCTTCCTGCAGCCTCTGGGCTGCAGCGCAACGCGCGTCTGATTCTGAGACTCCCGGGCTCCCAGCTTAGCTGTGCAGAAGCTGGTTCTGACGCTGTGGAGCATAATTTGTATCTGTTTCCCTGACTAGTAAACAGCAAATGAAATGTTTACCAAGTGCCAGATACCAAATGCCAGGTGCTTCTCCCGCGCTGAGCACATAGTTACGTTGTGCTGAGCTTTCTGAGTGGCAGGTGGGGCAACAGGCACACGGGGACATGAGCACTGCGGTGGCGTTAGGGACCAGCAGAGCTTGGTCCAGAGCGGGATGGAGGCTTCTTAGCAAGTGCCTGCCATGGGGAGGCCCCTCCAGAAAGCTTAGAAATCAACCAAGTGAATGGATGCAGGTGGGCAAAGGCAGCAAACCACCCTGGAAAATGTCACAAATGCTAAGCTGCCGTGTGCTAGGGACACTCACTGCCCCGCCTGGGAAGCTTCTTGGGGCACCTGGGTGAGCCCCAGTCCTGCTCTCCATCGTAGGAAGAGTACACCCGGGCCTGCCCCCACATCCCGACACTGGGGCTTTTATTACTGTCATACCATACACGCATACCATAAACTTTACCCTTTTAACCATTTTTAAATATACACTTCAGCGGCATTAAATACACTCGTTCGTTGTTATACAGCCATCACTGGTATCCATTTCCGAAACTTTCCCTGGCTTCCCCAAACTGAAACTCTGTATTTGGTAAGTAGCACCGCCCCGGATACACTGTAGCCCGTGTCAGCATTGACTCTGGCTGCTACACTGTTCCCACCTGAGCGCAGGGCCGGGCCCCTGGCCTTTCCGCACCAGCTGCTTTGACCAGGGTCTCTCAACCTGACTGGATGCCGCTGCCGTGGGGCTGTCCTGGGCACTGCAGGATGTTAGCATCCCTGGCTTCTGCCCACTGGATGCCATTAGCAACTCATCCCCTAGTTGTGACACCCCAAAATGTCACCAGACGTTGCAAATGATCCCAATGGACGGCCCCCCCAGAACCGTTGGACTTTAACTGAACCAAGTTGAAGTCTAGGTGTCTGAGCCCATAGAAAAGCCACCCATCCCCCTGCTAGCTGTGACGAGAGGGACAGCGGTGACCCTGTCGGCTGTTCTGTGTTGTTCCACCAGCTCACTGACACCTGAAAAGCAGCAGTGTCGGCTGAAAGACGAGGACAGGGCGCACCTTCGCCCCCGTCACCACAGGCTGCAGTGTCAGAGGCCTTCAGATTAGAGGGTCCACCGACATAGTAAGACATGTCGGCTCCTTCAGCCTGTGGGCTTGATGTTTTAAATGCAGTTGTCGAACAGAAGGTGTTTTTAGAATCCAACAAGTGATTTCGGCTGGTACTTTTGTTAACGTCTTAAGTCCCTTGGGTTGTCAAGGCAACTGTGAGCCGCTCCTGCTAGATTATTCCGAGTTGCTAAGAGGAGGACGTGAGCTTGTGGGCTCGCGTGGGATGGCTTCTGCCTGCCTCACTGTGGCCGTTTACTCCTGCGTCCTGGCCCCGGGTGGGGTTTGGAAGCGTAAATTGTGTTCTCCAATGGAGGCCAGTTTGTTTTCATTAGAGATTATTACGTCTTAGAGAAGAGTATTTGTATTCTCATCCTGCTTGTGGGAGACAAGGCCTGTGTGCAGAGAGATGTGTCCGGTGGTTACCGCATGTCGTTTGGGGCACTGGACGTGGACACGCGTCCTGATCCCTCTGTGTCCCCACCTGGGATTGTGGTGACTCAGGCCTGTCAGCGTTTGGAATGACTTTTTTCCGAGCAAAAGACCAAGTGTGTTCTAACCCAGCAGCTTCCAAGGAAGTGTGCATTGGAATCCACACCTGATTACAGCCCCCGTCTGGGATCCCAGGGCAGCTCAGAGCCTTCAAGGACACAGGCTTGTAGCTCCTGGTTCAGAAACTGTTACAGGAAGAGCCCAGGTGCCTCGTCCTGACGTCCTGCACACGTCCCGCATCCCTAAGCGGGTCTGCAAACACGAGGCTCTGTAGCTGGAAGGGAAGGTGTGGGTTGGTAAAGTGAGTGCACCTGAACTGAGGCGTGGTTGGGCCAGGACAGCGGGAGAGTAAGAACGCCTTGGAGCCACAGAACAGCCACAGGTGGGTGAGCAGCCTCCCTCCTGCTGGGGGAGGGGAGCAGGTGGCTTAGCTCTTGGGGTGGGGACTCTGCTGGTTGCCCCTGGACCATCACTGGGCCTGAAGGAGGACCTGGCAAGAGGAAGGTCCGAGGTTGGTGGCCTCTCCTCCCACCTGATTGTCAGAACCGTCCGCTGTCCTTCAGGACACGGCATGGGAGGACTTGTTTGGAGAAGCAGGACCTTGTGAGTTTAAGTTAACTGACATGCCGACCTGATCAGACCCATGAAGCATGAATGGGGTACGCGCCCAGGGTCCCCTTCCTCCTAGTGCTGGGGAGAGCGCAGAGGTGCTCTGTTCGTTGGTGGAAGAGGTCCGCTTCCCACCGCCAAATTGGATCACCTCTGTTGAAGAAAATTGAAGTAATGCCACATGCTTTGCCAGTCCAGCAGGGCTGGGACTAGACCTGCCTGCAGCGCCCAGACTAATGGGGCTGTTCCTGAGATGGGGGTGGGGAGCTTCGGCTGCTGTGCTGCTCAGTCCTCAGGTCTGAGCACCCGCTGACCCCCACATGCTTTTCCTCCCGGTATGATTGAGGACCTGGAATCTGTCCTGGTCTGTCAGCAGCGCCCTCCAGTGGGACGTTTGGCTGAGACCGCAGAGCCTGGGGCCTGTGGGTGGCCGAGGGGGCGGCAGTGAGCTCAGCAGACAAGAGTGCCCTGTGATGGGCAGTCTTTGCACCTCTGGCTCATCCATGGCTGAGGCCACGCTTTCGAGCCACTGCCTGCACTCACCCTTGGTTTTGCTGAACGGCCAGTATAGCTCCTTTTCCGATGACGTGGTCGTGACACGATGCGTGGACAGGGCTGCTGGGCGGCCTTCCTGCAAGCTCTTGGGGTTCATGGGGGCACAGGGCAGCAGCAAGGAGCTGCAGCGAAGCCCCTCCCACCTGGCCGTGCCCTCTGCTTGTCACTTTTTTCACATCACCATTAATGTTTGTTTCTAAGTTACCACAGATAACTGTTCTGGGGCAAAACGTTCAACGGTACATGAAGGTTTCAGAGTCTTGTCACTTGTTGGCTTAGATCAACTCCAGCCGCTTGAGGAAGCGTTTGTGTGCTGTCAGCTCTCACGGTGATGGGCCACGGCTGGCCCTTGAGACCTCCACATCAGGAAATTCATCTTTGCCTTGGAACAGTTGTTTTTTTGGGGGTTAGGGAGGGGATACTTCTTGTCACACACTGACAGCCAAATGACGTGGGCCAGAGGTGCTTCTGGAACCTGCGTGTGTGAGCCGGATGCCCAGCTCTGTGTCATGGGCATCCTGTCTGCCTGGTGGGAGCCTGGAAGTGGGCACACAGCCACAGTTGCCCTCTGAACCGACTTTAAGCCTGAAGGTTAGGCTTGTAGGAACAGCCGCTGCTGGTGCTGGCGGCGGGACTACACTGGTCACCGCCCCCTGGAGTGACTTCAGTGGTGTTAGCCTTTTCATAACAATAAGCAGAGCACCCTTTGTGGCTTTACACAGCGTAGGACTGTCTACACACGGGTCAGGTGCAATGCAGACACTGCTTTCAGCTTCTGTGCCGTTGGAAGAATTTCTTTTTGATATTGTCGTCTTAAATTCCTCTTTCTGAATTCAAGCTGTGACCAAGGAAGGCCCGGGAAGGTGAGAAGCCTCGCTGGGCACCTGGGTTTAGCGGAGTCCCACGGCTGTCTGCCTGGAGTCCGGTGGCCCCTCTGTCCCCTCTGCCTGGGACACTTAGAACCTGAGGCTGGCCTCACACTCCCCGTTCTGGGTACTTTCTCTCTGCCTTCTCATTAGAAGAACAGTAAACTCTGGAAAGACCAGCCCCGCCCCCACTTCTAAAAGTAACCACCGGAGTAGACACAGAAGCCAGCCAGAGCCAGAGGGCGGCGCCCAGCACAGTGGTGGCCGTGTCTGTCACTGATTTGGATGTTCCGGTATTCAGATATGTCAGACTTCCTCACTGTCCTCCTTTACAACCCTAGTCTTCAGAATGGACCGGTGACTTTGAAGTTTTATGTGGACGGTATTATCCTTATGTTAGGAGGTGTCCTAAAGTGCTCTTTCCAGAAACACGGGGTGCCAGCAGAAAGACTCTGTGGCTTTGGAGATGCAGCCTCTGGTGGCAGGTCTCTTCTTGCAGCCGGACTGCTGGCGGTGGGGACGCTTCACACTTCCGCTTCGGGCTGCAGGTCTCTGCACTGCCTCCCACGGACTCCGCGGGAGTGCTGGTGCATCTCTCTGTTGAAGTTAGCGGTTTGCTGAAGGCGGTCTGACAGTTCCATAGGCCTCCCCTTCTCTGATCCTCAGTCTGCAGCCCCTCGTCCTGGGGAGTGGCCCCTGTTGTTAGGAGTTGAGCCCCGGCCTGCGGCCTTAGCTGTGACTTTGCCATGTCCAGGGGGCACCTCAGTGACCTCTGCTGGCAGGGTGGGACCTTACAAGCAGCTGGGTGGTTAGAAAGCTCGTCGCCCCGGCTTCTCCTGAATGCACCTCTTTCCCACTTGAAGAGTCTTTTTTTTCTTTTTTTTTTAAAGATTTTATTGGGGAATTGGGGAAGGGGAACAGTGTTGGGGAATTGGGGAAGGGGAACAGCCAAGTTGCTGTCCTTCAATCTTAGTTGCGGAGGGCGCAGCTAGCTCAGCGCCAAGTCCAATCACCATCTGGCCGCCCATCAGCAGCTCCCGGCTGCTCAGCTCAAGATGCCGTGTTCAATCTTAGTTGCAGGTGGGCATAGCCCACCATCCCATGTGGGAGTCAAATCAGCAACCTTGTTGTTAGGAGCACGTGCTCTCACCAGCTGAGCCGTCTCACCACCTGTTGGCAGCTCGGCTCAGGCACAGCTCACTGGCCCATGTGGGAATCGAACTGGCGACCCTGTTGCTGAATTCATGCTCTTAACCACCAGCTGAGCCACTTGGCCGGCCCCTCTCATTTGGAGAGTCTTGACATGACCTCCTGTTCTCTGTTTCCTCCCGCAGATGTGGACCTGACCATCACTGAGCCTGGTGGCTCTGACAGCCGAGGGGAGAGGACCGACCTGTATGCCCACGTGGACGAGAGTCTTCTGGGCCCGCCCCTCACCCCCGAGAAGGATGATGTGCTGCAGCAGGCCACGGCAGTGGCCAGCCTGCGGGCAGCGCTTATGAGTAAGAACAGCCTGCTGTCCCTCAAGGCAGACGTGCTGGGGGATGACAGCTCCCTGTTGCTGGAGTACCTGCCCAAAGGCGCACACGCCCTGTCCCGTAAGTGCTGATGCGCTGGGCTGCCAGGCTCGGTTCTAAGTGGAAAGTTGCATCAGGGATCAGACCGTGGCCAGATGCTGGCTGAGGGCGTAGTGCGTCGGTTCCGGCCATCAGCGGGGAATCGCAGTGCCCTCAGACTCCGCTGAGGTCCATCGGGAGGTCACATCGGACCCATGTGTTGTGGTGCTGGGAGCCCAGAGTGGATGTGGGGCTGGCACGGTGGCAGGAAGGGGACCAGCACGTGCCTGTTGGAGCATCTGTACTTGACATTGAGGCATCTAAACCTAAAACCTAACCAAACGTAGAGTGTGTGCACGATGAGCAGGCCTGGGATACGAGCCCTGTGAGTTAGGACGCGCTGGCAGGGGACGCGGGAGCCTTCCTGCAGGAGGGACAGGTTGGGCTCCCTCTGCTGGTGCCTGTCCCCCCTCTGCGTCGTGGGGAGGGGTGCCCTGGGCCTGAGGTCAGGGTGCATCTTGCTTTTGTTCCCATTAAACAGTGCTGGTCACACATGGATGGGTAAGAAGCAGTGGACATTGTGTTTGCAACTTAAATGTCTCCAGTTGCCGGGAGCAAATGCCTAACCCGGAGGCAGCTGGGGTGCGGCCATGCTGGTGAGCAGCGGGCTCACTCCAGATGTCCATCTGCCCCCAAAACGCGAGGGCATTTAGCTGTCACACCCACCCTGCCCGCCAGCCCGCGGGTGCCAGCCCGAGAGCGAGCCTTTTCCCTGCATCACAGGTACTCTGGAGAGCCGTTCTGGGGACACTTGTGGCAGCTGCCGTGTGCCGCTGGAGGAGGCACCAAGTGTGTCACCTGGGGAAGCACTGTCTAGGTGATGCTCAGTGTGGGTGTGCAAGACCGAGGTGTGGCCCCGCTTCTCTCCATGGGGGCCGGACACACCCCAACGTGGGAGGTGCTGAGTGCAGAGGGGGTAATGCCCTGCCCCGGGTATCGCTGGGGTCTGCTTGTTGGGTGGAGGTGCCTGAGACACCCTGGGTGGGAGCGTTGCTCTGCTGACGGGATGAAGTGAAGGAAAAACCGCCAGCATCTCAGATTAAGATTCGGGACAGTGTCTTTATTTAATTCAATTTAATTAATTAATTTATTTATTTTTAGCTGAGCCATCCTGCCACCTGTTGGCAGCTCAGCGGGAGCTCAGCTTGGGAATCGAACTGGCGACCCTGTTGCTCAGAGCTCGCACTCTTGAGCAAGCTCTTAACCAACTGAGCCACTCGTCCGGCCCCTCAGTGTCTTTACTTTAATCTCCACTTTGAAAAACAGTAGTTTCATAGCTTTGTCTTCATGAACATTGAAACATTTCAGGTTTTGTGTTGGAGTGATGAAAATTGCTTATGCCGAATAAAGACTAAGACTGGAGAATAATTTTCACGTTCCCTTTATTTCCATGTCCTGCCAGTATCCGGGGCGGGCTGGACGCATGGCCAGCAGACAGGACTTGGCTGGGAAGTCAGGCCCAGGGCTGTGTGGCGTTGGGCGTGCTTTTAAAACCACTGTTAGGCCTCATTTTCCTCAGCTGATTGACGGTAGCGTCACTTACACAGCTGTTGTGAATTTAAACACAACAGCGTTTGTAAAACATCAGATACGTGAGCGAAGTGTGTGTGATAAATGTGCCAACGTGTCAGCCTCTCCCCCTCGCGAATCAGGGCTGCACTTGGCAGAGACCGTCCGACTTGTGCCGGTCCTGGGACAGCTGAGGGGGGTGGTTCCAGGCGTTTGGGGCATCTGGAATTTATGATAGGTACGTCCAGCAGCTGGACATCCAGCCAAGGGGATGACTGGATGGGTTTTATGGGTGACGAGGAAGGAGCAGGTTGGGATGCCACTGGACATTTTTGGCCAAGGAGAGGTTGGGGGCCTCCAGGACCCTCTGCTCTGGCCTGTCCTCACAGTCCCCTGCGAGCCTGGACACTCGTCCTGTCTCTTTCTAGCCGCTGGTAATCAAACACCGCATGTCACAGACTCCAGGAAGGGGGCACCGGCTCTGTGCTGCCCCCATGTGGCTGATCTGTGCTTGTCACCAAGAGTGATGAGCGAGGGGATGGTTTGTTGGTACTTTCCACTGTGTGTGTCCGGGTGGGCTTGTGCAAAGGCCTTTGCTGCATCTGTGTGGGAACCATGCTGGCATGGGGCCGAGGGGTCCGGCCAGCCCCCAGCCCCTGGTCTCACCACCTTCCGTCCAGCAGCGACCGTGTGCCGTGGAACATGACTCAGGGGCTCTGGAGAGATGGGCAGTTGGCCGTGGATGCCCTGGGTGGACTTGCCCCTTGTGCCTCGGTTCCTCTGTCCCCCCAGCAGAGGCCCCAGGTCTCACTCCGAGTGGTGACCCTCTAGGGGGGGCCTTTTGGAGTAGGTTTTTCTCCTAGATCCTTACCTCATCCCGTGTGGTCACTGCGCTGTGTATTTTGTCAGTCTTGACCTTGGGCTGAGGGCAGCAACACCTGCTCTGAAACACGTGTGTAACCACCTCACACACTCATGTAACCGCCTCACACACGTGTCAGCACAGCCGGAGGGGCTGAGAGCTGCCGAGGGAGCCCCCCCCTCCATTTCTCGTACTGCTGTGAAGTTGGCGAGTGGGTTTAGTGCTTTGGTATTTCTATATGTTTCAATCCCTTGCCCTTCATATCCTCGAGTTACCCCTTTTCTCGTAAGCTCCTGCCCGTTTCCCATAAACAGTGAGAAGCGGGCAGACTCCTTCACGGGTCAGCTGACCATGTGGGCTGCGGTGGCTCTCGCGTCCGCCCGCCAGAGAGGCCATAGAAGCTGATGGGTCATTTTAAAAGATCATTTTCTGATGTCCTAAGTAATATCTGCCAGTTTCTGGGCATACACTAAAATGAGGACTGGAAATACCCAGAAAAAGAGTTTATTTTCTGTAATCCTATGGTCACCCTCCTGTGGCAGGCGGGTGGCCGTGAGGAAGCCGGTGCATGGAGGCTGCGGTCGTGGCCGGGGTGGCATCGCTGTCTGCTGTGCTGAGCACTGGTACATGGCCTGCCAGACGAGAATGGCTGAAGCAGCGGCGTTTGACGTCCGTCCGGCTGGCGGTTGGATCCTGGACATCAGTTTCCCCAGACACACTGTGCTGGAGTATCTAGCCCTCGAACTGGCCTCCGGCCCTCCTCCTCCCCGCTTTCTGTGTCCAGACCTGCCGTCGTCGTTGGCAGGGACACGTTCCCATTGACAGTGTTGTGGAGGAACAGGCTGGCAACTTGCTCAGGGTGGGGGCTGTGACACGTGGTGGGCACGGCAGGGTCTGCAGGCTCCCCACCCCTCTGCGTCCCAGTGGGGGGCTCTCCTGGGTGCTCCACCGCAGGCTCAGTCTGGAGATGGCCCTGCACCCCCAGGTGCCCCCCTGGTGGCCTTCGTGTCCTCTCGACCGCTACTCTGGTGAGCACAGGGACGGTGTGTGCTCGTAAGGACCTGAGTCCGGGTTTGCAGAAAGGAGAAATGGCCTAAACTGGGCTGCACTGATCACAAAGCAGAGACATTGCCGCCCTGCTGCTCGCTGCGGTTAGACGAGGGGACGACGGCACTTCCTGGCAGGATGCGCTGTGCGGTCCCAAGCCGTCCCCATGCTGACTGGTTTGCTCGAGGGGACGCTGTGGTGCACAGATGTGGTCTGGTCATGGCAGTCGTGCAGAAGAAAGGGGGAGAGGTCGCTGGTGTCTGAGAGAGCCACTGACTGCTGGCAGTGCACAAGCAGGAACAAACAGAGGCTCTTTCTGGCTGATTCTGGAACCTTCTAGAAACAGTCCCCCAGTTTTCAAAGGTCTAACTTCACAGATGGTTTCGTTACCAGGTCATTGCACCTTAACTTATTTCTCCGTAGGAGGACTTCTGTTTCTTTGATTCTTTGGCTTTATTACGTATTTAGCATCAAGCTAACATCCTACCTGTTAATAGCTGTTCACTGAGTAGGAGCCATGAAAAGCATCGTTTGTGGCTTGAAGCGCGCCTTGTTTAGGAGTCGTGCGTGGTGTGCAGTGAACAAGCAGAACCTTGACCTGTGCGCCGCCTTCTTGGGGCCTTAAAATTACCGTAAGGACATGGTCACTGCTCGACTTCTTGGGAACACGCTGACGGTAAACCGACCCACGTGGATACAGGAGACCGAGGACCGTGTGGTACTCGACGTCATCCTGACACAACCCCCGCGCTAAAAGCATCTCCCTGGCTATGGTGGGCGCGTGGCCCCCCGATACCACCTGTGGAAACAGTGGAGGAACCCCCAACATTTGTGGCCAAATATACCAAGTCTCCACGGGCTCTTCTGGGGGAACCCTCAGAGGGCCCGGGGCGGCAGCCTGGGGGGCCTGCTGCCTTCCTTCTGTGTGGGGGGAGCCCAACCGTCCAGGAGGCATGTGCCCCCGGGAACGGCCAAAACCATCCTCTTTTTGGCCATGGTTTCAGGAATATTTAAAACTGGAATTGGAGACCTCTACTGGGTTCTGGACAGACCCTAGAATGTTCAAGTTTCTCGTGAAAGGGTGTTTGACGATGTGACTACACTTCTGATAAACAGCCAGCTTAACACACCTAGACGTGCTTCTCAGCCCATGCTCCATGTTCTCACAATGGTCCTGACTTTCTGGGCGGCAACCTCTGTCGTACCATTTTGCCTTTGGGAGAGAGACCCTGCCCCGGACACGTCAGGCACAGAGACCCCGGCACGTCCTGCTTTCGGGGTGGAGCTGGTGAAAGAACCCAAGCGCCCAGGCCTCGTCACACATGGCGCTCTGCTCACTGCAGGAAGGTCGAGGATGGCACTTCCAGAACACTCCAAACCCGCCAGCTGCTGCCCGTTCCTGTGACGGAGATGCGTTTCCTGTGTTCCCAGGGCCTGGCACCAGCCTGAGCCACATGGGGGGGCGTGATAGCAGAGCGCCCCCTCCACCCTCCACTCAGCCTGGGACACTGCCCTGGTGACCTGCCAGACCTAGGCGGAGGACAGCCAGCCCCTAGCCCAGGTG